TATCTATCTATCTATCTATCTATCTATCTATCTATCTATCTATCTATCTTCATCTATTTTAAAAAAAAGTATAATAAGATCAAACAAAAACTATCACATTGGAGTTGAATAAGGCAAACAGAAAGAAAAGAGCCCAAGAGAAGGTATAAGAATTAGAGATCCACTCATTTGCTCATTCAGGAATCTCATAAAAACACTAAACTAGAAGCCATAATGTAAGTACATATGACCCGGTACTGATCCATGCAGACTCTGTGTATGCTGCTTCAGTCTTTAAATTCATATGGGCTTTGCTCATGCTGATTTAGAGAGCCTTGTTCTCTTGGTGTCCTTTATCCTCTCTCTCTCCTACATTCTTTCTGCCTCCTCTTTCATGAGGTTCCATAAGCTCTGAGGGCAGGAATTTGTGAAGAAGAGGTTGTATGAATTTAAAAGCACCTACTTGACCAAATGTCTGGCACATAGTAGGTTCTCTATAAAAGGTAATCTCATGGGGGCTGGCTGGTGGCTCAATGTTCAAGATCACTGGTTGCTCTTTCAGAGGATTGGGTTCCATGAGCCAGATGCTTACAAAAACCTGTAACTCCAGCTCTAGAGGATTTGGCACCCTCTTCTGGCTTTCTCTGGCATGAGCACACACATATATACATACCTGTGGGCCAAACACCCATACATATAACATTTGTAAAAGGTAGTCCTGTGGATCAAAATGAGAACTGTTGTGACTAAGAACAGCATCTCTAGGGTACAAAGTACTATAGAAGGAGATCCAAGAAACTCACCTGGATGATTATGTGTCATTGGTACATATTCCCAGTAAGGGTATGGGAGGGTAGTGGTTATGAGCATGAACCTAGGAATCAGAATGCTTAAAGTGAAATTCTCAGGCTTTCACTTACTACCTGTGGGACCTGATATAGATTATATATCTTCTCTGTGCCTCAATTTCATCATATGCAAAATGAATGATAGTAATCTCTCCTATACAGGATTGTCATAAGGATTAAATAAAATGTTCAGAGCTGCACTGGCACACAAACACAAACATGAGCATTAGCTATGGCATCTTCAATTTACAGTTATGATAGTGGTAGGGTTTTTTTTTTGTCCATTTGTTTTTGGTCTGGAAAAGTCAAAGTCATCATGAATTAATGCATGCAGTATCCAGGTCCCTCAAATTGATTTAAAAGGCTACATAGATGGAACTGGCCCAAGCCTTAATCCAATCAGGCAGCATTCAGAGCTTGCTCGCAGTCCTTAGTTGATCAGGTTTTGTTGGCAGCCTGATGCTGTCCAAAATGAGAGTCCCAGATTTAAGGCTTCACCAAACACAGTGTCTTTTGTGAAAAGATACCAGATATCAAACAATATACACTTCTCCAGGGTCTCAAGTGCAGCCACCAGCTACCAAGATTTTTAAGCACTTTTGTGAAGAAAAGATTTGCATCTGACTCATTGCCAAAACAGATTGAAATCATACCCAAGCATTTCTACCAGTTTAAAAAGCCAATGGTGAACAAAATCAAAATACATGTGTGTTTAGAAACTGATAGAGAAAAATGAATGAGTCCAACCAGAAAAGAGTTTAAGGGATGATGCAATTGTAAATCACGGTACTGAGGTTAATAGAAAAATGACTGAAATATCCTGTGTACACAATAGGGCTGTATTTTCAGTTTTAATAAATATGTAGATAAGGACTACTAGAAAGCCTATGAGCAATTCATGCTAGTACAAGCTCTGAGCATAAGGAGCTGTTAGAAATGAAAAGCAGCTTGCTCAATCTGACCCAGGTGAAGATATGATTCATCAGGCACAAATCTAAGAGGAAAGAGGAGAGTGATTAGGAGATGGATCAGAGGGAGGTCAGGGAGAAAGGGTGCAAATTGTAGTTAAGCTCACATGAAGATAAGAAGAAATGAAAAGAGTTGAGAGGCAAATATGAAAAAGAATCAGAGGATATCATTTCCCCTCTGACAATGACAAGGTAAATTGAGATACTGTGCCATGCGTTTCTGAACAACAGTTTTTTTGCAGTCTTTGTTAAGAGCAAGAAGAAATGAACTACCCTTCATTTGAAATGATATCAGTATGAAGACAAAGAGAAGTGTCAATCAGTGTTCAAATTAGTCTTATAAAGTATATATTCTG